GATTATGAGCTGATAAAATATTTTTTACTAAGCCCATATTTCAATATACTTAAATATTCAAGTATAGAAGAGTGGTTAAAAAATAAATGTGTAAAACGATTAGAAAGAAACAAGTATATTTTGAATACATAACTAGTCAAAAAATAGTATAAATAAAATATTAAAATATGCAATAACGACATGAAACCGGGATAATGGTTATTGACAACTAAACAATTCGTAGCCATAATAATAATATACAGTAAAATATCCAAAAAAAAAATAACTATTAAGTACAAATACTGAATATTTGATAACTGATAGATGAAATTCATATACCGGGAGAAATTACTTAAATAAGAATATTTATGGAAATATAATCAAAATTTTATTTTCTAAAAAAAAAAAATTTTTGTAAGTAAAATAGTAAAATAAGTAAAATATTTATAATTTTAATGAAACAACGAAATGCCTATTATTATGGTCAATATTTCAAAAAATAACTATATTTATCTAAATACAAAAAATTTGAACAAATTCATTCGTAATATACAATTTTAATATAACATTAAACTCATTTTTAAGATCTAAAAAAAAAAAGGATCTCAAGTAGTATGTAATATAACTGAAAATAACACATCTCATAATAATTGTATGTTTATATAAATACTTTGATGGTTTAATTTCGAAAATAACTTTAAAATATGTGTAGGTTAGTCGTAATTTTATCCCACTAAAAAAAATGTATGCAAATATAATGAACAAGAACATTATGATAACAAATGTGCCAACTCTCTCTCTCTCCATTTCACACAAAAAATGTAAAAATACATTAAAAAAAAAAAATAACAATTAAAATAAAAAATACAACGATTAAATGTATTCGCTGAAAAAATTAAAACTCAATTGTGTCTAATTAGCAAAAATAATTGTCAGATGAATTTCGTATGCGATTTATTACGGTTTTCATTTAAGAATAATAATAATAATAAATAAAAATAACTAAAATATAATCAATTTTAAAATGTAGGTTAAGATTAACTGTGCATAATATCCCGCTCAGAGTTCATAAAATATTTCAATGTCAATTACACGTGCGTCTAACCTTTATAATGAATGCAATAATGTATAATCTAACTTTCTTATTAAATAATCGGATTGTGTTAGAATAACTATATGTATATAAACATAAACACACATAGGAGCATAATATCACACGTTAATTTACTATTATTATGGCGTACAAACAGAAGCGGGTGTCTAGGGGGGGAGCTCTACAGCGTTGAGTAGGCGTTGCCGTAATTTTCTACGATGAATTGATAAACAATAAAGCAAAACAAATAATATGTTGAATAGTAGAAGTTATAAAAGACAATTTCGCCTAATTTATGTTCCTTCGAAGAATAATAAATACGCAATCACGCTTATCGCCGGTATATTCGTCTGTAACATGAAATTTAACGATAATGTGGTAACAGTATCATTTAATATTTTGTGCAATAAAAGCATATGGGCGATAAGAGAACAAAGTAATCGAACGAAAATCTTCTACTAATTTTAGTCAACTACTAGACCATTAGCCGTATGCTAATAATATGACTACTGGACAGCAGCAATTTCACTGGACTACTTTTAAAAATTATTACGGATACGGATTATGACGAAATGTGTTATGAGAGAACGTTAAATGTTCTGTACACGTACAATTATAATACATCAACGTTCAGTCCATGTGTTAAATAAAAAATTATAAACATTTTTTTTCTATGAAAGATCATCACGCGAATGTGCGCAAGAAAATGTTTAATGTGATACTAGTTATTGTAACAATTGTGAAAATAAGCCCATCGAAATAACTAAAAACAACCGCTGCCGCATATATTATAAAAGTACCTAAACCTAACCCGTGAAGGCATATTATACACGGGCGTTTCGTGGGGAGAGGGGAGAACAAGCAGTTCGTCTTCGGACGCGGAATTATTGTTTTGTCGAAACCGTTCCACTCGAGATTTTTCGAACGATTGTTTCGACTCCGACAAATACAATGAAAGAGTAGATAGGTTAGATATCGTTTCTGTATTCATTACACGACATCGTCTCCGTCAAGACACGAATGCGGCCACGGTGGCACCGACGACGGAGGACGACTACAAAATATATAACGACGACGGACACTGTGAAATTAAGTCTAAAACGATAAAATTGTAATGCTCAGCGGGACATTCATTCGATCTGAACCATCTTTTCTATCACATTTTACTCCGACCGATATTGAAATATTATTAGCTACCGACTAAATTAATTAATTTTATTATTGAACGCCGTGGCGGTCCTACATGGGGAGGGGGTGGATCGCCCCTTCCCCTTGCCCAACATTATATTACAAAAAAACCTGATAATATATCGTCTATGTTTCACAATATTTTATGATTAATAATTGTGGTAACAAAGCCAGAAAAAATCAATGATTTTAATATTTTTTGGCAACATTAGGTTACACTTATTCTGTGATATGGCCATGATAATGTGGCAGGGATGGTATGCACCACCAACTGTACCACACATCGCTAGAGTGATACAGCGCGTACGACGAGCCTGTTATCATAGATAATTTAGCTCAAAACATACTGATAATGTTATACTGTTTATATTTAACTAATTCGTGCTCATTCCTTCGTAGTTAATGTTTTTAGTGCTCCATTCAGTGCTGTAAAAACCGGGTGTGCAGTGTTCATTACACCCGGGCCTCATACTATATTATAGGACATCAAAAGGTCAAATGCTCAAAAATGTATAACGATAACGGGCCTCAAGATTTTGATTCGCACTTCGGATGATTTAATTATGGCGATGGCTGCATTATTCTAATATTTATAATCAATACGTTAACAAATAAAATTACTTGTTATTTTACTACAAATGCAACAAAAAAATCTAAATGAGAACATGAAACTAATATTAAAGTTGAAAAAAAATACCTCTGTTGTGCCGTTAGTGCAGCCACAAATTATAGACCAACAACTTCAAATTTCAAATGCAAATCTTACGGAATCTAATACAAATTTATCAGATAGTTTGGACATAGAATATTTTGTAAATGATAGTAAAACTGCTGATAATTATATTAAATATTTAATCTTTAAAATAAGTAATTTTCCAGAATCTAATTTTTGTTGGCCATATTCAAACCATAGTAAAAAAAGGAAAATTGAACTACGTTACTTACATAAAAATCATTATGAGAAATACCCATGAACTCGATAGTTAAAAGTTATAAAATAATTTTAAAAAAAATGATTAACCTAACTAAGTTAAAAAATATCATTAACTTGCCCAACCTTGATTTTATTCAAGAACATTTCAAAGCTTATATTAGTTGTAAAAAACGTGTTTAAAATATATATTATAAGCTGAATACTTTTGTTTTGCCATGCTTTTATAGAGTAAAAACACGGCTACAATCAAGAATAAGGAACACCAAATTTAGTGGCTTAGCATTACTTCATATCAATAAAGATATAACCACAAGTCTTTAAAATATTATATACCGATTAGTAAAACACAAAAAAAACGAAAAAGGACTTTTATTTTGTAATATTACACGAAATAAATTTTTAAATTTAATAAACTATTTTTTTTTTTATGACTAAGTACTATTTTTAAAGATTGTATTTGTTATGAAAAATATTTTACCCCCTTCCTCCTCTTGAAATTTGTCAAGGACCGTCATTGACTAAACGGGTCAAGCCCAAATTACAAGTCAATATACATTAATAGATATATTTATAAGATAGGTCACATGAAAAAGTAATTAATATCATGTCAATTAGGCATGTCAAGAGACTAAAAAAGTATTATTGTTATCATAATAAAACAGACAAAAGAAAAACCACATCAAGGATTTGCACAAAAAGAAGCCATGAAAATAAATAGAAGAATAAAACAATTTATTTTTTCCGAAACTGATCCCTTATCAGCGGAGAACGAGAGGACACGGTCGAAACAGCATATGGTCGACGGTTAAATAACCCGAGCAAAACTCACTCGTTTCGAAAAGAGATCGGTTGAATACAACGAAAACATGCACATACTACTAAATAATACGAAATGCTCGTGTACACCACTAAGGTGGTTAAAAGAACAGGCCAAGTTTAAGAAAAAAAAAATTAAATTAAATTTTGTGAAACCAACAATAATTCCCACGTGGTTTTGGAGCATAACTCAACGGAACAGGTAGAGATGGTGCTGTTAGGACTTGAGCGTCTGGAAACTATTACATACGCGGGGGGTTGACTGGAACGACAAAATAATACTCAATACATTCATGGGGAATCGAAAAAATAATACTGTCCGATATTTTACTAGGCTTAAAAAAACGAGACACGGACACGGGATTTTTTTTAATGCGATGAGAAAACGATTTAAGGGGGAAATAAAACACCGCCAACCATCGAAACTATCAACCGCGAGTTGAAACGGGAAGAGTCATGTCGAACGCGCGACAGACCAACGCGCGTCGTACGCGCCGTATGCCGCGCGTACGCGGAGAGAGATTATGACGTTGTCCGCCGTAGAGATCTCGGCTTACTCAGCTGTGGGTCGGCGGCGGCAGTGGCGGGGGATCGGCGGCGGCGTTGTTTGCAACGGGCGCGCGCTCAGTGGGTCCCAAACCGAGCGACGGCGCGCGCCACGGCCAAGTGCGCCACACGGCGACGGCAACACGCCAACCGACGGGTAATCGTCGCTGCCGCCGCCGCCGCCGACGTGCCCCACAAAAACGTGACCGTCGCCGCAACGTGCGGCCCGATTTCAACGGTGGCCGGACGAAACGCACCAATGTCGCGTAAAACAAACCAATCGGTGGGCATCGACCACGTGAACGAGAGTTGGTTGTTGTTCAACCGCGTAGCGCGTGCCTGGCCGGCAAGGAAAGGTTGTGTAAAAAAAAAAATTTCGAATAAGAACAGCGATCGGTGACGCCACACACGAAGCGATCACGGAGATATCGAGAGTGTGCTTACCGTCCATTTAGACGCGTTGTTTTCCAATAGCTTGTACGTCTTCGACGGTCGAACGGTGCAGCAATGTGCGCGGCGAAAATTCCATTTGCGACGACAGCGAAACGGCACAGGATCACTCACAACCGTACGTGAACACCGTCGAATGCGGACTGGAGAGGGTACGGTTCGACGGGCGCCTGTATGTGTGCGTTCACCTTTCGAGCCGCCGGTATAGTGGTGATGGCGATGGGAGGGTCGGGAGCGGCGGTAGCGCCGACCGCGACCGACAACGGCCGAACCGTGTCTCGTTGCCGACGCGGCCGCCGGACCCGCTGAGTCGAGCGCGCCTCGGCATCGATGACGTCTTAGTATCGATAACGCGGCGGAAAGCCGGTGCGTATGTTCACGGTTCCGAAAATTCGTCGTTTTTAAACTTCGACGTTTCCTTGGGACTGCAGCATCGCGTTGACGGTGACGGCAAATCGATTTCGCGTACGTGCGCCGAAGACGACTGTAACGCATTTTCAAGAACATCTTAATCAGAACAAATCAAAACAACAATCAAACGCAACACCGTCCGAATAACGTTGCGCTCGCGTGGGCTTAACCGAAATAATCATGGTATTGTGCGGGGAGGCTCTCGCGTTCACATCGATGTTCGCCGGACACGGTCGACGACGCGAATGGCCGCGGTGGTGTTGAACAGTGGACAGTGGCGCGACCGGGCCAACAACAGTGCCACACCGCTGACGAGTAGGCGCCCGCCCGCCCGCCGTCGTAGTCGTTGCTCGGTCTGGTTCCGGCGTGACGTGAATCGACCGAACGCGCGTTCCACCGCCGCCGCCGCGCCGCGCTGTACAATACACAAATAAACGAATATTTGTATAACGTGCTCGTCGTTTGTTGGTCGTAGGATTTGTGAAAAAATAAACATCGGCCGGAAAACAATAACACTATCTATTTCTACGATATTTTGTCCCACTGATGATAAAAAAAAAAAAAAAAAAAAAAAAATGATTAAAACAATCAAAATCTGTTTGTAAATTATAATAGGATAACAATACTGTTTGTGTGCAGATTTAATTAGTTTGACGAGAAATGAATTATACGGATACGTCATCCGAAGGAAACTGAATAAAAATGACATACAGCCGAACACACATGCACGTTTTATAACGTATGCACTCTTTACTTCACCACAGCGTCTGCAAAAATCATTTTCATCGCGGTCGGTTAAACATATAACACTATTTTCAATCGTCGTCGGCACACGCACACATTTCGTCCCCGTTGTGCACGATTAATCTAACAGCATTGTAAAGTGAACGATAATCGCTTATCAAATGTTTTGTAAAATTATAATATTTCGTATACCATAAGCTTATTCGAAATATTCGTTTACGCGGAAAACGTACTCGCGTACGGATGGTACGAAAACTATATCCGATATTTGTTCGTTGAAAACGTACCTAACACTTTCGTTTTATAGTCTAGTAATTTTTACGCGCGCCACCGCTGCCGTTCGACATCCTTGTTTCGTGTACACCTGTGCCTTCAAATGATTTCAACACGCATATCATTACATAATCTGACTATCATATTATCATAATGCTCCAACAATTCTTACGAGTACAGGTATTCCAGGAAGCGTGGTGTTTCCATTTGTTTTTCTATTAAAAGTTTAATTTTATTCAAATCGTATACTCCTTGGTTCAACTTCCTCAGATTATATAACGCGCCGTGTTCAATATTGTTCTCGATATCAATACGAATACAATTGTACAGAAATAGTTTTTCATTTTTACGCGCGCATTCGAATCATTCTTAATATATTTTAACTACACGCACGACCCACACGGTTGCCATCCACAAGATAATGTTTATATATATATGTATTGTATTGTACATCAATTAGGGGAAGAAAGAAGAAAAATGTTATTCCAATTGAATCATCGAATGTAGTTATTACGTCACAGTATCGAAGAGGGTATATTATACTCAATATACATGTAGTGCGACGCACTACATTACACTAGGGTGCGAAGAAAACTGTGTTCGCGGAATGCTAAAAAGTTTAACCACACCCTGCACGGTGCCACATCTTATTGACTGAATAACATCAATTACCTATATTAAAGTACATAATTGATTGTTACGCACGTGTATAATGCGCGGTTTATTTATGTGATGATGTTTTCACTGTTCCGTGTATGTTGTGTGTGTTCGTTAAATCATCATGACTATTTAAAACATAATCATCTTCGATTATGTAAATTTATTGTATTTATTCTACAGAAATGTTTTTTTGATATCTAAATTACATACGATTATATCAATTTGATATTTATTTAATAATTCCATAACGGGTACCCATACAAAATAATTTCATAGAAAATAGTTATTGGTAAAATATTGATTGTATGTAATCGATATTTAAAATATTTATGCATTTCAACCAATATTCTTGTCCATTAGTTATTAATGCATTATTTTTATACTTATTTCACAAAAACATTCATGTTAATATTAGATTTTAAATTTACATGACTTTTACTGTTTTTTGTAAAATTAAAAAGAGAAACGTACATCACATTAACAAGAAGAAATAATAATACTTATAAAATAAAATGAACATTTGACACGATTTATTTATGACAGAAAAGTAGAAAACATGAATTGTATTGAGGGAACGTGTTTGGAATTTGAATGATACGACTCGTTTAAAGTGTGGTGAACATATTAAACTTCACATTTTATTTTCAATGTTTAATCTGAAACCGGTACCTATAATAATATGGTTCTACAATTCAATTCAATTATACACTTAATCTTAAGGATACTCAAAAAAAAAAGTAATAAGCAAATGAAAACTATAGTAATTATTATTAAAATCTATAAAAGACAACAAATCACAATTCAAAAAGTTAAATATCAAAGTATAAATATTATCTGAATTCTCTACGATTATACTCTTTAAGTTGTAATTACATGGTTCCGATACCAACATTTACTAAAAAACAAATAATTAAACTGAATTAGCTCTAATACAATAAATGCATGTATAAACATGTGAAATAATAATTTTCTCATTGATGAAGTAACTATAAATGGAGGTTTCTTCACTTCTATATTTTATTCATTAAGCTGACTGTTCAACATTGTAACAAATGACTTAAAATTAAAATTAAGTAAAAAAAAAAAAGGATAAATTAAGTACAATATAATCGACTTTTCCTTCCTAAAAATATCGATTACATATATATATGTTAATAGTTATATTAAATTTATTTATATTAAATTAAATAATTTCATTTATTAAATCGAACAATCACCCCGCGATAAATTTTGTGACTCAAAACAACGGTAAAGAATAACATAAATATTATGTATAATATAATTAACCTTTTGGTGGTGCAAATGTTAATAAACATGGAATGCAATTTCAATAGGATAAAAACAAACTGTATATAATAGTTATTTGAGATAACAATATTATGAATTACTTCTAATGATTAGTTTAGCACAGGGGTGGATAGGCCCATAGGGAAAAAGGAATTTTCCCTGTGGGCCCTCGCCCTATATTATGTTGGTGGCTCCCTCGACACCATTAATTTTTTCATGGAAATTTATTTTTTTTTTTATAGTTAAATTATTTAAATTAAATTAGGATAGGTGAATATAATATATTTTTTAAAAGCAATTTTTTTTTCATTTTGGTGGCCCCATTAAAATATTTCCCTGTAACAAAATAAACTACCTATTTACCTCTGGTCTAGCGTGAAATGTTAGATTATGAATAATTTTATTACAGTGAAACAAAAATATATTACTTATCATGAGGCTCATATATAGTTATACAAAAATATTTATAAATACCTAGCTTAAAATCTCTAAAATTGAGAAATTCAAAATAACTGCAATTAGTTAGTACCCATCAATATAATGTTAAGTATAAGAATGTAACAAACAATTATATTGCATTTTAGTAATTGTCAGTAATTATTATGCATTTTATTTACATATACTTGTGTATAATATAAACAAAATATTAAAAAAATAGGAGGTAAAATTATTATAAAATAGGTACAGTTTTTTTTAATTTAATAATTTTATTTTCGAACATTTTCAAATAGAAATTTCATGGTACAACTTAACCCGTGCACTTAAAAGAACGCGTACTGACCAAATTAATGTGTACCTACAGCGTGAACCTCAATGTAATTTTTTCAGTAGTCAATAAAACATTTGAAAACAAATTCAATATGTACCTACATGTATATTGTATACCTACTGTGTGTAACAAAATAACATTAATATTAATTAAGATAAATATTGACATCATTCGTACTTTAATATTTGATGGCCCACTCTAAGATAATTGTTTACCAAAGAGACGGAATTTTTGAAATTTCGTCAAGGAAAAAAGGTTGGACATCACTGATAAATAGTATACACATGAACTTTAATAATTATAATTTTCATAATTTTAATGCTATCATGAAAACAGATGAGTTTATATAAACACTAAGCTAATTAACTAAGTATCAAAATATGTAGCAAAATGAATCAACAACAAAAATCAGATTGTAAATTGTATTAACATTATATTATATTATATTGAATATTATTGATGATAAGACATTGGCTCCATGTAAATTTAACGAGTTGTTATACATATGAATATTGTTTTCAGACAATAACACACTGATAATTAAAAATTGTGATACACAGGCAATTGAGTAGATATATATCCCAAAATTCAGTTTAGTTATTTATTAATTCTGAGGTTATTTATTATTTTGGTATTAATTTATTATCATTGTAATCTATGTATTTTAATAGGTTGATATTTAAAAAATATTATTCTACATATTTGTACACACATACGTCACACACGTATTGATAATTTAGATTAAATTTGAATATTGTTGACTACACATCTACCCCTCGATCAGTGCTGTAAATTAAGTGTGTTTTGGGATTCAACCCCCCCCCCCCCCCTTAAATCCCAGAATACCAACTAGTGAATAATTAGATAAATATAAATAATATTAATATTATATATTATAATATAATAATAAAATATATAAAATAATTGATAAAAAAATAACTATTTCTCATACATTTTTGCCCACCTACCGTAAATAATCTTCACCTATCGCCCTGATAATGTAATATAACATAAGTTAGTACATTGATTACAGCTGCAATAATTTAATA